ATTTAATGCCTTATCTATGTACTATGTATCTATGTATTATCTATGTATTTTGTATGCTGGAGTTTTTAAACAATCCAGGGAAGACAACAACATTTCTTTAGCAGAACAATGTTCAAACAATGCTTTTGTGCAAGTAAGTAATACAATGCTACGTTTTGAAAATTTACAGAATTCCTTAGGGTTTGCACTGGGTGTTTACATCTATCATTTTACATGAAATTGAGCCATAGAGATATTGATAGCCCTGCTTACAGAGCCACCAAATTAATTTATCTAATTCAGTTTGTGGGGTTTTCCCATTCAGTTGGCCATGCAACAACCGTAATAGAGAAGTAACAGAGTGTAGTGTATACCTGAGGTCGGCGAACCCGTATGATCCAGGTAGGAGGTACTATAACGGCGGCGTGTGCTCCTAATGAACACGGTTCTTCTATCTGCTGCAGCATAAAGCATGTCACCTTATTATGATACTGCAGACAGACAGAGAAAGAGAGGATAGTTACACACATTTACACACTCTACAATACTAAAACACACCAATGCATTCAGCCTGAGATACTTACTGCTTGTTTGCACCAGGAGCAGCTAATGGCTACAATCTCTTTACTGTGAAAAGCAAATTTCTGCTGAAATCCCTGTAGGTGGAGATCAGACTCATTGAGATACATGTCATTTCCCAAACACATGTCACATAAACACTTTTATCATGATTGTTTCTACCCACCTTTCCACACTGTTTGCATTTGCCCTCTTGTCTTCTCCGATGGACCCAGTGGTGTCGCACTATTGCAGGCTGTCATAAAAACATGACACAAGATCTCAAATAGCTCTCATCCATAGATTATGAATGTTAAAAATGTAACATTAAACCAGTTTAATGTAGTGAGGTTATGCTGCGGGGCAAAGATCAAGATCAAATCTGAAGTTAGGGATTTGGTGTGACACGTGAACAGGAAGAGACAGCAGAATAGAAATCATGGAAATAGAAGACTTCTGGAGATGTACAGTATCTAACAAAACTGAGTACACCCCTCACATTTCAGCAAACATTTTAGTATATCTTCTCAAGGGACAATACTATAGAAATGAAACTTGGATATATTTTAGAGTAGTCAAAGTGCTGCTTGCATAGCAGTATATATTTACTGTCCTCTGAAAATAACTCAACGCACAGACATTATTGTCAAAATAGCTGGCAACAAAAGTGAGTACACCCTAAGTGATAATAGCTGTACGTCATTTAACCATGCAAAGCTACATGTCCTATTCATCATTTTCATGTTTTTGTCTGCTTGACGGGACCATATAAATTTGTGTATCTTGTATTAGAACAGTTCAAATTTGTGCTTTGAGTACAATTCTCTCATACTGACCACTGGATATTCAACATGGCACCTCATGGCAAAACACACTTTAAGGATTTGAGAATTAGAATTGTTGCTCTCCACAAAGTTGACCTAGGCTATAAGAAGATGGGTAACACCCTGAACTGAGTTACAGTACAGGCCAGTGTCATACAGAGGTTTTCCAAGACGGGTTCCACTTAGAAAAGGCCTCGCAAGGGTCAATCAAAGAAGTTGAGTCCTCGTGCTGTGGGTCAGGTGGAGAAGCTGGCTTAAAAAAACATATGCATGAATGCTGCCAGCATTGCTTTAGAGCAGTGGTTCTCAAACCTGTCCTGGAGAACCACCAACACTGCACGTTTTCTTTGTCTCCCTAATCAAACACACCTGATTCAACTCATCAGCTCATAATGAGCTGATGAGTTGAATCAGTTGTGTTTGGTTAGGGAGACATAGAAAACGTGCAGTGTTGGTAGTCCTCCAGGACAGGTTTGAGAACCGCTGCTTTAGAGGTTGCAGAAGCGAAAGATCAGCTTGTCAGTGCACAGACCATACACTGCACACTGCAACAAGTCGGTTTGCATGGCCGTCGTACCAGAAGGAAGCCTCTTCTGAAGCTGGCTCACAAGAAAGCCCGCAAACAGTTTGCTGAAAGCAATCTGTCCAAGAGCATGAATTACTGGAACCACGTCCTGTGGTCTGATGAGACTAAGATAAACTTGTTTGGCTCAGATGGTGTCTGTGTCCAGCATGTGTGGCGACGCCCTGGTAGGGAGTACCAAGAAAATTGTGTCTTGCCTACAGTCGGGCATGGTGTTGGTAGCATCATGGTCTGGGGCTGCATGAGTGCCGCCGGTACTGGGGAGCTGCGCTTCATTGAGGGAAACATGTATTCCAACATGTACATGATATTCTGAAGCAGAACATGATGCCCTCCCTTCAGAAACTGTGCCGAACGGCATGACAACGACCCCAAACACACCGCCAAGATGACAACTGCCTTGCTGAGGAAGCTGAAGGTGAAGGTGATGGAGTGGCCAAGTTTTTCTCCAGACCTGAACCCTATTGAGCACCTGTGGGGCGTCCTCAAGCAGAAGGTGGAGAAGCACCATGTGTCAAACATCGAGCAGCTCCGTGATGTCATTATGGAGGAGTGGAAGAGGGTCCCAGCAACAACCTGTGCAGCTCTGGTGAATACCATGCCTAGGAAGATTAAGGCAGTGCTAGATAACAATGGATGCTAACACAAAATATTGACACTCTGGACACAGTTTTGACATGTTCACTTAGGGTGTACTCACTTTTGTTGCCAGCTATTTTGACAATAATGGCTGAATGTTGAGTTATTTTCAGAGGACAGTAAATATATACTGCTATACAAGCAGCACATTGACTACTCTAAAATATATCCAAGTTTCAATTCTATAGTATTGTCCCTTGAGAAGATACAGTATACTAAAATGTTTGCTGACATGTGAGGGGTGTACTCAGTTTTGTGAGATACTGTATCTAAAAACTATGTAAACTCATATTTGAATGCTATGATGCAATGCCTATACAAATGTGGGCAAATGTATAATTAAATACCTGGGGGACAAACCCTCCCGCCCTCCCGCCCTCCCCCAGACATACACAATACTAAAATTATTTTGATTTTTTTTTAAATTCTAAAAATGCAGTTGTAAGTTATCTTTCAGGGTTAAGGATTGGGATTTGGGTTATATAGGGTTAGAACTGTTTAATATTTCCAAATAAATAGATTAAGATCCACAAAATTAAGAGAAATTCACACAAACACAAAGAAATCAAAAACATAAATAATGAGTTTTGAAAATAACAAAAATGTTTATGTTACAAACACAACTCTGTCTGGCATTCATTTGTGGATTGCTTAATGTGCATGTGTGGATCGGCACATGCATTTGTGGATTCTGAAACATTTCTAGCATTGTTGTGCACAAAAATCCACAAATAGATAGACCCACCGTCCACTCGAGCTAATCTGATATCGGCAAATAAAACAGAATTATTTGTGAATTTAAAGATAATCCAGAACTCGCATTATGGGCTATCAATAAAATTAAGCAGAAAGGCTTTTGGTAGTTTTCACAAAAGCCACGGAGCCGTCAAAAACTTACAAATATTGCTGACAAAGAAATTAATATATATCTGTGCAGGTATTACACATTGTTCATTTACATATACTACTGACATTGTAACAATAGAGATTTTGTTGAAAATTTACTAACTAACCCTTTAATTAATTTTTGTGAACCTCCTAACATATATTTGTTGAATGATCACACCATTTATTTGTGAACTTGTTTAATTTTGTAAACTTCTTTAAATTTATTTGTGGATCAATATCTATTTATTTAGACATATGAAACAATTCTAACCGCATAGGGTTAAGGTTAGTTTGTATCAATTGTAATTAGCTTTATTTAAAACAACAGAAATGTACAAGCCCTCATTTAGATAGCCAAGTAAAGTTGTCATCATAGTTGGGTGAGAGTGTGTTTGATACCTGTGTGATAGAGGTGTGTGCACTATATTTAGCTGCAGCAACTGTCATTTGTTCCAAAGCATGGCGACCTCTGAAAGCTCTGCGTCGCCAGGTGCGCTAACCCACCAAGCCAAGATGAGAGACAGGAAGAGAAAGGGCACACAGAGGAGCAGAAGTGTAATGGCGAGATAGGGATGAGGTGACGAGGGATGGATTACAGCAGTGAGTGGGACATAGAGAACGTGTAAAAGGAAAAGAGGGTAAAATGGGTAAAATTAAGATTTAAAGATGTAAACAGCAAACAGCATCAGTCATTGTGGTGTGTAAAACAGTCTGGGGTCATTTAGACAGCTGCATAGCGCTAAATTTAAGTTTATAGATAACAAAAATGAGGAGCTATTTATCTTAAAGTGTAATAGTCAAGTCAAGTCATCTTCATTTATATAGCGCTTTTAACAATGGATTGTTTCAAAGCAGCTTTACAGAGATAAACATATAATTTAAGGTAACAGATTGTTTTGGCTTTATAGCGGTTCTTGAATAATGTTACTTCCAGCTAAAGTTAACTTTGATTGATTCACCTCCGTCGAAATGATCAGACTTTAAACGCGAACCTGTGATTAACGCTGACGGCGTTCACATGCTCATTCAGAATTCTATAGTTATGTGCTTTTTAAAATATGTGCGCAGGTTTGTAATTCATACAACCCAGCCTAAACAAACTACTTTTCTTGTCTATAAATTTTGATACAGAATTTTGTTTTATTTTATCACTTCGGGGTACGCGAGCCGGAATTCACAGCGCTTTATCTGTAGAGTGGGAAAGGGATCCTCCATAGGGAGAGGATAGTGGATACTTCAGCACTGCATTGCCATCGGGTCCAGGCAAAGCTCCCTCGTCAGATCTGGACACTGCCTGGATCCGGCAGGCTGCGGGAAAACCTCGGGATAAACAAAGACACTAATATTAGCGTAGATGCCATTCTTCTTATGATGTAGCGAGTACATCAAGATTTAAGGGAAGTGTTCCCAGTTCCGGCTGACCTAATCTATGCAGCCTAACATTGAATTTATAGAAGTCTATAATGTATTATGTGTATGCTAGGTCAAAGAGATGTGTTTTTAGTCTAGCTTTGAACTGACAGAGTGTGTCTGCTTCCCGGACAATGGTGGGAAGACTATTCCAAAGTTTTGGTGCTAAATAGGAAAAGGATCTCCCGCCTGCAGTCGATTTAGATATTCTAGGTATTATCAACTGGCCGGAATTTTGAGATCGCAATAGACGTGAAGGACTATAATGCTTTAAGAGCTCGCTCAAGTACTGCGGAGCTAAACCATTTAGTGCTTTGTAAGTAATCAACAATATTTAAAAATGTATACGATGTTTAATAGGCAGCCAATGCAGTGTTGACAGAACCGGGCTAATATGGTCATATTTCCTGGTTCTGGTAAGAACTCGAGCTGCGGCGTTTTGAACCAGCTGTAGTTTGTTTATTAAGCGTGCAGGGCAACCACCCAGTAGAGCATTACAATAATCTAGCCTTGAGGTCATGAACGCATGGACTAATTGTTCCGCATTTCCCAATGAGAGCATATGGCGTATTTTAGATATATTTTTAAGATGGAAAAATGCAGTTTTACAGATACTAGACACGTGGCTTTCAAAAGAAAGGTTGGTATCAAATAGCACACCCAGGTTCCTAACCGACGACGAAGACTTGACAGAGCAGCCATTAAGTGTTAGACAGTATTCTGGGTTATTACGTGTGGAAGTTTTTTGTCCAATAATTAGAATCTCTGTCTTTTCAGAATTTAGTAGTAGGAAATTACTAGTCATCCAATTTTTTATATCAGCTATGCATTCCGTTAATTTTGTGAATTGGTAAGTTTCGTTGGGTTTTGAAGAAACATACAGCTGAGTATCATCGGCATAACAGTGAAAGCTAACTCCATGTTTCCTAATGATATCTCCTAATGGTAGCATGTACAGAGTGAACAGCAGCGGTCCTAGTACTGAGCCTTGTTAGCCTAGAAATCTAGACGCACCCTAGCGGCAGCAAAAATCATTTCGCTGCCAGTGTGGTCTAGCAACTCTCCATAGACGTTTTAGCTGGAAAAACCAAAAACTGGTCAGGCCAATCACATCGTGTATAGAGTTGGTGGGCGGGCTTAACACAATGACGGCAGAGTTGCGACGGTCAGAGCAAGCTCGGACATATTCGGTTTGAAGTCATCCATCCTCGGATGCGGCGCCGTGCGCGCCGTTACAAAAAAGCTGTGGCGAAACGATCAACTTGTCATTTTTGCCGCACTCGTGCGGACGCGTCGAGTATAAAGGCTTTATTTACTCCGTGTCAGCGCGCGCTCTGATCGGTAAAGGACCTCCGAATCATCTCCAGCACTCCGAAGCACCACTACTCCGCCTCCGTTTCCCTCGTAAGCTGATATTAGTATTTAAACATTCTCTATGATATTATTATTTTAATGACAAAAAATGTTTTAATGACTCTTTCTCTCTCACACACACACACACACACATACTGTCTCTTTCTCTCTCACACATAGGCTAGTTATAAACTCTTTAGACTTTTAATGATTAGTGTTTTATTTTTAAAGTTTGTGGGTCGTGTAAAAAACAAAAAAAATCCCTTATTTTGGGGATGGATTCCTGGAAATCTCCCTTATTTTCAATGTTCAATGTTGACAGCTATGGACTGGATACGGTAAAAGTTTATTATATCAACTTGCTCCGCTGACTACGTCCCCTTCTTCGTTGCTCTGATTGGTTGTAGCGCTATCCAATTGCGTGCTGAGAGAATTTGAAAGACAACCGTTTATCCCGCCCATCAGATTGAGCCCTGTCAATGATGAGTTCCCAGACCTAACATCTTGATGTAGGTCTGGCATGCCAGGCTAGAGCCTTGTGGTACGCCATACTGAACTTGTGATCGATAAGACATCTCTTCATTTACTGCTACAAACTGATAACGGTCAGTTAAAGGAGCTGTATGTAAGAAATTTATTTCAATTAATCATAAAATGGCCCTGAAATGTCACTAGACATTAAGAAATCATGTACATTTCAAATACTTATGTCACTGACAACAGTAGTCTGGCCAGGATATTGTCATTTAAAAAGTGCAGTTGCAGCCCTCAACTGATGTTGATGTTGTCATGTTGTGTTTTGGTCTGATGCTCCACCCTCCACCTATCTACCAATCACGAAGTCAGTAGTGTTGTGGCATCCGGGTTGCCAGCTCTGCTGTAGTTACCACAGCTGCAGCTCGTCACGTTCCTGCTGGATCCTGCAGCCGATCTGGCAACCTCGAATCAGGGAGGAGGGGGAGGGGATACACCACTCTACAGTAATTTGACAGTGATTGCAGTACTAGTTTTGGCCACAATCTTACATACAGCTCCTTTAAGTATGATTTAAACCATGCTAATGCAATTCCACTAATGCCAACATAGTTTTCTAGTCTATTTAAAAGAATGTTGTGGTCAATAGTATCAAATGCAGCACTAAGATCGAGTAACACTAATAGAGAGATACAACCACGATCGGATGATAAGAGCAAATCATTTGTGACTCTAATGAGAGCAGTCTCAGTGCTATGGTACGGTCTAAATCCGGACTGAAAATCCTCGCAGATATCATTTCTTTCTAGAAAGGAACACAGTTGTGAAGATACTGCTTTTTCTAATATCTTTGACAGAAAAGGCAGATTCGAGATCGGCCTGTAATTGACTAATTCTGTAGGATCAAGTTGTGGTTTTTTAACAAGCGGTTTTATCATAGCCAGTTTAAAGGTTTTTGGTACGTATCCTAGAGACAAAGATGAATTAATGATATTAAGAAGAGGATCTATGACCTCTGGAAGCATCTCTTTCAGTAGTTTAGTCGGTATAGGATCTAACATACAAGTTGTCTTGTATGTTAGATCCTATACCGTTAGTTTAGCCGCTGTTTCAAATAAATACCTAGGATTATGTTTATTTTCTTCTAATAGGTTTGAAAAATAAGCAGATCTAGCAGCTTTTAAAGCCTCTCTGTAAGCAATCGAGCTCTCTTTCCACGAAATCCGAAATACCTCTAGTTTAGTTTTCTTCCAGTTGCGCTCCATTTTTCTGGCTGCTCTCTTAAGGGCCTGAGTGTGCTCGCTGTACCACGGCGTTGGACTATTTTCTTTAATCTTCTTTAAGCGCAACGGAGCAACTGCGTCTAAAGTGCTGGAAAAGAGAGAGTTAAACGTTTCTGTTGCAATATCAAGTTCTTCTAAGCTATCCGGGATGCTGAGATGATGAAACTGATTAGGAAGATTATTGATAAAGCAATCTTTAGTGGCAGAAGTTATAGGTCTAACGTATTTATAACACGGAGTCGGCTTTGCAGCCTTGGCTAAATGTAATTTACATGAGACTAGATAATGATCTGAGATGTCATCGCTCTGCTGCAGAATTTCAACAGCATCAACATCTATTCCATGTGATAATATTAGATCTAGAGTATGATTACGACAATGAGTAGGTCCTGACACGTGTTGTCTAACTCCAATTGAGTTTACAATGTCTTTAAATGCCAATCCCAAAGCATCTTTTTCATTATCTACATGTATATTAAAATCACCAACAATTAGTACTTTATCTGCAGCCAATACTAAATCTGATAGAAAGTCCGCAAATTCTTTGATAAAATCTTTATGGTGGCCTGTATACAGTAGCCAGCATAATTCTCAAATGTGATTTATCGTTTACACTATATATTTTTACATTAAGCACCAATACTTCAAAAGAAGTATATTTAAAGCTACATTTCTTAGTGGTTTTGAAAATATTACTATAAATGACAGCAACACCTCCCCCTTTGCCTTTCAGACGAGGTTCATTTTTATAACTGTAATCTAAATACATAAATAATAAAAATACAATGACAAAGAAAACTGACTCTCAGCACACTGCTGTTGGCTGTTTATATCAATCTATGAAGGTTTTATGACAGTAAGTTTGACAGAATTGGAAAACAGGCAGAATGGGAGAGATATTAAGAAAACAAAGAAAGGAAGATGAAAAGAAGAAACTCACTTCTCTGACATTCCGCGATCCTGACTCCCTGAAAGATGGTTTACATCTGAAGTTGATCTGAAAGACAAATAAAAAAATCAAGTTTTCTATAATACTATTAAGTATTTACCCTAAACGAAAACTCAACAGTTCAGTAGTTTATCAAAACTACAAAACTGTTTTATTCTACAGAAAACATGCTCAGATTTGAAGATAACCCACTGAGATCAACATTTCTATATGAAAGGAATATTTTTTTTTAAAATAAAATAAATGAGAACAGAACAAAAAGCAAAAGCACCACTTGCCTTACCATCTTCTCTGAGTTTGTTAGCCTGGTTAGTGAGAAGTATGATTAAAATCATCCCCTAATCAAACATCATTTCACCACAGTCAGCCCCACATACCAGACATAAACTGTCGAAGACCTCAGCCAGAATCAGATCTGAGAACACACAGAATCTGTGCCTCATGGATAAAATAAAACTCCACCCAACAACCTGACATTGACTTGCCCAATCAAAATGAAAGTGATTAAGGTCCTAGTGAGAAAAAGAATATGTCTGGCAAGAAAACCTAATACGATTAGAACCAGCTTTTGTCTTAACTTCAAACCAATCAGGTTATCAAAAAGAGACAAAGGATGGCCCCTTCACAGTCTGGATGGACTGAGAGCTTAAGTGGCTCCAGATGTTAACAGGATATTGTTATTTGGGTGTTCTAGGTTTATCAGGCCAGACAGTCACCAGTCTTTACTAAGATCAGATGTGTGAGTGATCCATTAGACCCAGTTGAGTCTGAGAAAAAGCCAGAGGGTTTCTCACTCTGAATGACGGGTCTTTGAGAGGCACTTCATCAAGCTGAGGCGGAGCATTCCAATCCAATAACTGAAGGGAGGAACACGTATGGTCTGTGATGCAGTGTCAGATCATGTCTCTACCTTTGTGTTGCCATTAGAACCGGCACTCACCTTCTCCAACTGTTCAATGCAGATGGAGTGAACTACGATCTTGCAAGCAGCACATTTTTTCCGTGCAACAGACTTTTGCTGTGAAAAACAGGAAAGAGAGACATCATTAGATTCAGACTCAAACTGAGGTCACAGGTGATCTCCACTTGATGTAAGTCAAAATAATTAAATCAAACTGGTTTGATGCACATAATTCCGAAGTTAAAGGACCAAATCCTATGCAATGCATTCTGTGAGAAAGCCACCAGGGAGCAGCATTATACTAAGAAAGAAAAATATAAGAGAAAAAGAGAAATGGTGCGAATGATAGATTCTCTTTTTTCTTTTTACCATCCATCAATTTCAATCCTCTCGCTCAACTTCTTTTCGTATCTTATTTCATCTTTTATTCTCTCTAATCTGGAATACCTCATTCAAGATGTCTTATCTCACTTCTGTCCCTCTATTTACTCCTCAGTTTACTCATTCTTGCATAAGGAGGGGATTTCTTTTATATTCCTTTATATATATACATATATGGAACACCCACTCACCAGAGATTTGGCGTAACAGTGCTGTTCTCCGACGTAACAGAAGTCCCCAGAGACATTTGTCTCGAACCAGATGTGCTCTCCGTACAGAGCTGATTCCTGCTCAAACACACAGCATCAAATTAAATGTGAAACTGAAGAAAGAAACTATAGCGCTATCTACAGTACAATGAATAGAGATCTGAAGTCTAGATTATTTGGCTTTGTGTTACTCACACTCCAGTCCACTGTGCTGCGGATTTCTCTGTCCGTTTCCCCCCTGGCCAACACTAAAGCACTGGGCTGGCATGAGAGGTGCTGGAGACCGGACTTGGCAATGGCCTTCCTACAAACAAACAAAATAGACAGGTCCCATAAAACATCAAGCAATAATGATATACAGAAACTCGGTGTATAACCCGGATGTACACATGCACAAAGAAGGACAGTAAATGTGCCTGGAACAAACAAAACCTTCAAATAACTTGAACTGAATTGAGCTGGATGATGACATTGTCTTCTGTAAAGCTGTTTTATAGCTGAATCTAATTTGTTTCATAATTAATGAATTTTGCAACATCAACACTGTTATTGAACTAACCTGAATCAGAAACTGAAATGACTTGAGCTGAATAATGGCACTGTTGTCATTTTAGAGCTGGTTTACAGCAGAATTAGAATTAGTCTCATATTTGATAAGTTTGCATCAATTATTACTGTGAAGTTGCTTTGAAAAAATATATATTGTATAAAGACCTATATAAATAAAGGTGACTTGAGTTGTTTAGCAGTGTGCCTCACATGTAAACCACTAAAGACACTAAATATGCCTAGTTAGAAGACAGATATTTCAGTTTGAAAAATGAACGGAGCAAGAGTAAAAAGAAGAGAAACTCTCAATCTTATTTTTTGTGCATACAATTGAAGGAATAGTTGTAAGTGTCAGAATGTCAGAAAGCTAAGAACACAAGAGAAAAAATTCCATAATCACCACCCTAATGACAAATATAGAGGAATTACCGTTGGAGTGCTTGATATAAGGCTAGTATTAAGATAAGTTACATTAGGGTTGAAATAATGCTCTTTTTTTTTTTGGCTTCTCTAATCATGTAATCAATTGAAAAGGGGCATATATACTCTCTAACAAACCCAACAGCAAACAAAATATTTAAGTGACAGAAAAGTCCAAATAGCCTTCGTTTTTTTTTTTTTTTTTTACAAACACACAAACATAAGACATACAGCTGTAGTTAGGGCTCTACATACGAGAGGAACCCGTTCCATGTGTCAATCTGTGGGTTGTAGTAAGTTCCCTGCAGTGTGTGTGAAAGACTGAGATCTGGCCAGCAAGGAGAGCTGGTCCTGTACAGTGCAACTGATCCTCGAGCTGCAAGAGAATTTCGCCTCCCTGCCCACAATCCACCCACATCGGACAGCCTGTGCGCCTGACTGGTCCTTCGGTAACGGCCATATAGCCCAGAAGAGGCTGGGCTTCGAAAAACGGCCTCAGCAGGAAGTAGGTGTGAGGAGTTTCGCCGCAGGCAACGTGGTGCACGGATGAGGGGGCGGGGCTGAATGCTTTCTCCCGCCAACAAACCTTGAGCCAACCATGTCAGACACTTATCCGACTCCGTCTCCAAGTACATCCCTGCTTGCTCGTGCTCTTCTTGACTACATTCACTATCAGAGAAAGAGGAGTATTCTTCTACACTCTTATCCTCCCTTTCATGGTCTTCACTCATCTGCACCACACTAGCCAGGAGCAGTGACGGTCCCAGGAGCTGGGCGTGAATGCTGCGGTGTTTGGCAGCCTGTCTTCGTCGGATAGCGAACCGCGGGGTCAGGCAGGCCGTCGCACCACTCGACCTCCTCCTAGTGAAGTGTCCTCTTCTGACACCTGCCTGCACATTGCTGGTTTGAAGCTGAACGCTAGACCTGCGTCTATGAGCCAGGCCAGCTGAGGGCAGGCCCACGCTGGAGCGCCGGCGCGCTTTACTCGCTGGAAGTGACACACTGGAGCGCCTGCGCACGTTTGGCTCACAGGCTTTCCGCCTGAAACGTAGGCCGAACAATGTTTCCATTGGATGCTATACGCCACAACTGATGTCTTCCCAAGAGGACGCTGTGGGCGCAAGAGTGAGTCGGTCAGCACACACAATACACAGGCTACAACATACATAAACAAATGAGGTGTGACTGTCTCCACGAATGCAGTGCTGTTCCTTTGACCTTCATTTTAGGTGAAATGGGATATCAGACCACCACTAATCAGTCCAATCAGCTCTATTCAAAACCAATCAACTCTATTCTCCTCACCTGCGTGACTTATTTAGCAGCTCAGACAAAACCGAAGAAAACCATCTGCCATAATCTTTTGCATCCAAGTATCTGAATTGTAAGCAAGAAAATTAAACCTCTTTTAATCAGCAATGCTATGTAACTGACACATGATCACAATCACATATACCTGACGGCGCTCAGGTAACATTACCTGGAGAAAGTGTATCTAACAGCGATATTTATAGAAGTAATCTCCACTCTCTGACCCCACAGAGTGACTTCAAAACAGTGCCCTTATTGGGATTGATCACCCAAAAACTGAAACATCATTGCACCCCACTGACTTTCATTGTATGGACAAAAATATATATATATATATATTGTGTTCCACAGAAGAAAGGAATACAGATTTGGAATGACATGAGTGTGAGAAAACAATGACAGAATGGCAATGTTGAGAAGTACACTATCTCTGTAGGAAGTCTCTATGTAAACCTCGATTAACCACTCTAACCCATACTAACACCCGTGCCTGAATTCTGCATCACTACTCAGAAACTCACTATTTAAAATAAAAGACACAAAGACTGCAAAAGTATGTCCCTTAAAGCTTACAGCCAGAGAACATTCAGTAGGAGAACAATAATGAGAAGATGAGAGAGAACGTGCTTATCTATAGTATAGACCTCCATCTAATTTCAACAGTGTATGATTAATTGACTTGTCAACAATTACAAAACACAAACTTTTTTAAACACATGATCATAATTATGAACACATGACCATCCAATGAACCACATAAGAAAGAGATATTATAGAGAGAGAATAATTAGACGTTTCTTAGAGTAAACCGTGTACAGTACAGTATCTCTATAAAAAAAAAAACAGGAATCTAACAAACAAAATGTATTATTATAATTGAATACACATACACAGACAAATAAAGTAATATTGAGTCTAAACAACATCGGAAGTGTGTGGATTAATTTCTGCAGCCTTTAAAAAAAGGTTGTGTGTAACTCGAGCACCACAGTTTGAGCTCACAGGCCTAATCAGATTCCCACACTGTTAAAGGTCACCAGTGAGTAACTGTTTGTCAAAATACACAACATGACTGACACATTATTCTGTAATGCAAATAAATGATAAGAGAAGAAAAATGTATACTGTAAATATGCATTTTCCATAAACAGAAGTCCACGAATATCAATTTAAGCAAGAATTTAAAGTGACAGCCTTGTGTTTTTCTGGTGGACGACACTAGTGCTAATGTGTCTTTTATAATGACTTTTAGATAAAGACTTTTCTATAAAAGTATACAATAAGAGACTACAAGAGATTGTCTATTATAATATTGTCTTTTGCATGATAACACAGCCAAGTCTGTGACTCTTAGGCCCCATTTACACTGCATGGTTCAAGTGACCCAAATCCTATTTTTTCCTCTCATGTGGCACAGATCGGATATGACCCATGAACGTGTAAGCAGGAAAAAACCGCATGGATTCCGATTTTCTCAGATCGGATTCAGGCCTCACTCATATGTGGTAATAAATCGGATATGAATCGGATACGTGCATTTGCGTGTGCCATGTAAGCAGACAAATCGGATATTCCCCAGTAAATGCGAGTCGTACGTCATAAAAAAAGTGACGTCAACTCAGGTGGACACCACCAACTGAGATCACATGACTTATTATAGGCGCAATGGAGGACGAAGGATACACACATTGGAGCAATGCGGAGGTTTCGTGTCTTTTGAGTGTTTGGGGCGAAGAGACAGTGCAGGCGAAAATGCAGGGTTGTTACAGAAATAAATCCGTGTTTGAAGACATTTCACGAGATATGTGGAGGCACGGATTTAAGCGCTCGTGGCTACAGTGCCACCGTAAGATAAAAAGCTTAATGACTTTTAAAAATATTGTGGAAAGCAAAACACTGGATAATTTTATTCGCATCTGCATCTATTGTATTTCGTGCTGTTTTACTTCCTTTTCCGGGTCAGAACGTCTACATTTGGTAGTTTCAGCAGTGTATAGTGTAAATGCAAAAATCGGATACGGGTCACTTTTAAAAGATGATGTAAGAAGTGTAACAAAAAAATCGGACATAGTCAGAAAATCGTATTCGGGCATCAAGACCTGCAGTGTAAATGCAGCCTTATAGTCATCCCAAATGATCAAGTCTTTACATTCTTTTTTTGCGATTTAAAGTGTAACGTTGACGATTTTCTACGCGCTTTGTTGTTACAATGTCATTAGTATACTTAAATGAGCAATGTTTACTCGTTCTCTGTGTTACCTGGACCAATAAATTCCCTTTTATTTGTTTTGCATCATCTGGTGGAATTTTGACAGCTCTAGGGCTTTCGTAAAAAACTACAGATTATAATTCTGCATTTTTGTATCCCCGCCAACGGACAGTTGGATTGACAGAGGGTTATTAACAGGACAGTTATTGTAAGGGTAGGATTATAACTGGAAATTGTAACATTGTCTACTCTTTAAACAGCATTATGGTAAAAATTAAACACTGGCAACAGCGTTTTGCTTCGCAACGTTATGTGGAACTGATGAACCACAGTTTCTTTCAGTTTTACCCCTCTGTTTGGCCTAAAACACTGTGTTTAGTCAAGTCATCCAGTTTGAAATGTTGACTACACGCACAGAGGTTTTTCAAATTTTCCGATCCTTTGCAGCCTTAAGCTACTGCCTACAACTCCTTTACTCTTTGAATTATTGCACCTGGGAACAATACAAGTATTTCCTACTAAAGCAAGGCAGTATTTGACTCTGGTCAAGCGTATCCATAGCAGACTGGTGGGAGCTGCCTTGGACGATAACATGCCCATTGCATTATGGGTGTTGAAGTTATCCTCCTTATTTGGCAAGAGAAGATAACAGCCTTTTTTCTTTGTTTTCACTAGTCATGTACGTAGCACCAATTTCTAAAAGAATTCGCCTCTCTACTGCAGGCATCCAAGTTTTATTGATAGCCCATTTGCCAGCAGTGAAGTACCCCTTTACGTTTAATATAAATTATTTCTAAAAAATATGTTTTAGTTACCAAATAATTAGATGCAAAGATGACAGTGGCAGTAAAATGTGTGTCTATGTCTTCAGTGTCACTCTTTTGTTCTCATTGCTAAAACATCAGCAGAAGTGACAATTCTAGAATATCCCACTGTGTGAACTGCGGTCTGAGAGGAAATTAAGGTCAGTATACAAAAGCTGACCGAAGGTCAAGAAATGTACTACTTGGCTTTGTGTGGTCTTTACTGTAAGTAGGGGGGCCAGGCCGAACTGCAGACTCCACTGTCGATCCACTGATTTCAAATTGTGCCCCACTGCAATAGTCCACTTATACGGTGACTGTTTATTATTAAATCCAAACCAATAACATGCACATTGGAACATATTTCCAAAGAAGAGACTTAGCAAAGAGGAAGGGCTGTAAAAGTAAAATGACCAAACAAACGTTAGTTCAGATCTAAGTTACTGTGTCCTACACTTCCCACTGTCATTTTTAGATACATATTTTAATCTCTGTGAATGCTAATGAAACTTTAGCATTTAACTTGGATCTTGAAGCAGATAAATTACTGTATGAGCATATCCACACTAATTCACACAAGGTCGGCTACCTGGCGACACCCCAGGATGACAGCTAGAGGGGCGGGGGGTGGGGGGACGGAGTATATGACTTATGTAAATTCTCTCACACAAACTCTCTCTTCTCTCTCTCTCCCTCGCTCTCTAATTACCACCTTGGATCTTTTTCAATAATTCAATGGCCCATCGTAAATTATTTCTAACATATTTACATCTAAGCGTTAATACCTCAAGCTTTATTTTGTCGGAAAATTGCAGGGAGTGTTTCTGTGTTTCGTTGACAACAGGTTTACAAATACTTCTCATTCCATATCTGGTAAAAAAAGAAAAGAAAAAAGATGTGACTCAAAAGTCATAGTACATGCAGGATTCACAGTCACACACTACGTGAAAGGTTTGCATCCCATTTGTGGGAATGAATACACCCTTGTGCAGCTGAGGTCGAAGTCCCTGTGTAAATGCTTTAATTTGTTAATATGTACACAGAAATTATAACACATGTTAGTGTGAAGCAGCATTTACTATAAACTGAAAAGCTGAAAACACTGTCTCATGAGTTGCATGTGTGTAAAAGAACACAGAGCAGTGGTTCACTTTGAAACATGCAGCACATCAGAATCAGAATCAGAAAAAGCTTGACAAGAAGCTTCCAGTGCAAAAGAAAGTACAGATATAGTGCAGACATACATAAGAATTAGGCAATAAAATGGAATAACAAAATAATTATAATATTTAAAAAAGACAAAAAATTTAATTCAATATTTATGAAAATAAACACATATTAAGTGTACAGTTTGAGAAGAATTTATAGATGTACGATTCTGAGATATGTTATGTACAAATGTACAGTTGTCAGAATATTTAATTAAATAGCAATTTTGTGCACTTTGATAATAGCACTAAACCATATCTCGATTTCAATTTTATTCTGATTATTTCTGCAATACTAATAAACATCATTAGACCATATTTAAATATTTGATGCTGCCAGTAACCAGTTCACACAAAATGCATCGTTTGCAAAACTGCAAAAAAAAAACAAAAAAAGATTTTCAGGGGAAAGTGTTTGTCAGCCAAAATATACAAAGCATTGGTCATCTCTAGTGACTCATCATATATTTAAAATATTCTTCTCTTGTGTTATATTCCAAACGTTCTCTTAATTATTTCCCTTATTATACAACTGAATGCATACCATCATTGTCTCCCATCATGTACAGACATACAGTAC